CAAAATTTAAATAAAACAATAACTATCAGAAAAATATCTGAATACTTTCAAAAAAGAATAGATCATTTCTTTTTGTAAAAATTCAGATAATTTTTTTATCTTTCTAATTTATAAAATTTTTAATATTAAACATTTGTAAATTATTTTTTAATATATATCTATCTATTTTCATATACTTTTTTTTAGTATATATTAAATTTATATATATAATATTTCCTAAAATTTTAAATATTAAATTTATAACAAATAATATATTTAATTATGTAAATTATTTATTTATTATATTGAGAAAAGTGTATAATAAAAATTAAAATCTATTACTTTAATCTAACTTTAAATATATTTATTTAAATAATCTAAAATAAATTTTCTTAAAAAATTTTAGCAAACAACTTTTTTATATTAAATATTTTCTAATTAAATAAATATCAATAACAATAAAGTAATTATTAAAATATTTATATTTTTGCCAATAAATAATATATATAAAAATAATGTAACAATGTCAAATTTATTAATTAAACATAGTAAAATATGAATTTTCTCTTTATATAAAAGTTTTTAATTTTACTAATAAATATTTTTTATTTTTATATTAAAGTGAAGATAATATTATATCTTTTAACATATATTTTTTCAGATTTTTTAAATTTAATCTGATAAAGCTGTTCTAATTGCATATAAAGTCAATTATTTTTTTATAATTAAAACATATAAAAAATAATTGACTTTATATGCAATTAGAACAGCTTATCAAATTAAATCTAAAAAATCAGAAAAAAATATATGTTAAAATATGTGATATTATCTTTATTTTAATATAAACATAAAAAATATTTATTAGTAAAATTGAAAACTCTATATAAGAGAAAAATTCGCATTTAATTAATAAATTTTAACGTCATTGTATTATTTCTGATTGTCACTGTATATCTTAATGAATATTTTTAAAAATACTTTTTTAATAAAATAAATATTTTACTATAAAAAATTATTATTCTTATTACATAAAGCAAATTTCAATACTTCTAATTATATTAATTAATATAAATATTGATAATAATAATAAATTAATATGTAAGTTATTGCATTAAAATAAATATATAATTTTTTATTGGTAATAATATAAATATATGCAACTACTCAATAGAAAATATAACTTCTAAAAGCTCAAAATTAGAGAACTTAATAAATCTTTATTAGATAATTTAAAATGTAATACTCATATTAAAACATAATTCTTATTATTGAATATTATATTATTCTTAAAATTCACTTAATTATAAATGTAACTTCTAGAACTAAAACTCAACATACTTGATAATGAGTAATTTACTTATGTTTATTGATTGCTAATATTAATGATTTTTACCAAATAACAAATTAAAATTATTTACTGATTTTATTTTAATATCGCTAATAATTTTAATTAATAAATATAGAATACTCTTTTGCTTCTAGAGCTTTTAGAAAAGCTCATATCCAACATTAAGTAATGATCACTTTAAAAGTATTCAAGTTTATTTAAAAATATATGAAAAAAGATAATTACTTACTACATGTATGTATAATGCTATATAGTGCTCCAACCGGGTCGGGTCTAATCCGTGATCCGAACCGGAACGCACATTTCTGGTCGGGTCGGATTGGGGTCAAACCCGACCCGAAATAATTCGGGTCAGCCTAAAAATCGTTATTTTTCGTTCAATATTAAACGAAAATTTGTGGGCATATACACAATTACATTCCGAACAATTCTACTTAGACACAAAATACAAGTGTCTTAGTAAAAATAAAAGTTATTAACGAAAATCTATTTCACAATTTTCGGATCAAACCCGATCAAGCCGAACCGACCCGAAATGTTGACCTCAAATCCGATCCGATCCGACCCGAACAGAGCTTTACCTGCAGATAAGAAATCAGAATCTTCAGATATTTATATTTCAGATTTATTTAAAAATTGAGGAGTTATGTTAGCCGGATTGATTTCAGTGACAAAAATTATCATTTTGCATTTGGATAAAGTTGGATTGTACGGCAACGACATTGCCGCACCTGCGAGCTTGAGCTCACAAAAATAATGTATAGGCAAATGAATATCTTAATATAATGAACTTATTCAGCTCGACATATTGTCAGGTCCTATAGTAATTTTTTTATAAATGGCTATAATGGGATTTTATAATGAATATGCTTATAGCAAGGTGCTTTTATTAAAGCTGGTTGAAAAAAGGTGAATATAGCAGTAAAAATGAATTGTGTAATCTGTCTGATTATATAATGACATCAATATTTTTCTGTTCAAAATGTCAGTTTCTTTACGAGGGTCTCATCTACATCATGTACTCTCCGATCAACAGTCTTTTCACCATTCCACTACAAGAATCAGAATTACCAAAATTGTGTTCTGTGAAAATGAGTTAGAAACAATCTATCTTATCCATTTGGTATTTAAGTTCAATAAACTTGATCTTAATTGTGTTGAGAGTGAGCTTCGGACCAGCATTATCTGAGAACCATACCATTCCTGAAGTTGAAGATACTAGTACATTGTTGACATTTTTTCAGCGAGTCTTTATACTTCGTGTAGTCACTAACTTTCTGGAATAATACGTTTCTGATATCAATCATCATATGCTAAGATATCCTAATTTAATGTCGACAAGCTTGAAGGAATTTCGAATGCTTATGTTCAAACTTTACATGACGTCGTTGAGAACTTAATTAAGGTGATAGGGACAAGCGAAACTCACACTGATTCCCTGGTAGACAATTTACTTCATATCTTTGACTTAGATGCTTGGCATTTGTAATGTATTCTGATTTTTTTTAAATTGCAGGTTGGCAGATCCTGAATTTGTTATTAAAAAAAACATGAAGGATAACCATGGTGACTATAGAGGACTGTATATTTTTTGATTGTTTGAGAAGCCGATATTTTTGTTGAATCAAAAAATCTTTCAGGATAAACATCTGAAAAATGTTGATAGACTGGCTTTGGAAAAGCATAAATTGCCGTGGAGATTCTCACCTTGGGAGTAAGAAGGATTGTAAATTTCATAAAAATGAACCTACGATCAGATCATATTTGTTGTTTGCGTCATATATATATTAGATTTTACCGAACTGTAATTCCTTCATTATATTGGAAGAAAAATAGATTTATCACAAAAGCAATCAATTGTGATTGAAAGTTGGCTGGATGAGTGAATTGATTTGAATATTGCAGAACCTAATGAAAGACGAGCAGTATTAACAGATTTGATCAAAATTTGTCAATTTCTTTTGCAATAATTATAATAGCATGATAGAATTAATTTGAGAGTAATTTGAGAGTAATTTTTGCGTGTTTTATTTCAGTATTATAAAATATTGCTATTTGTCATTTGCGTTAGACTAAGATTTTTCATGTGAAATACAGATTGTGTGGTGATGTTAATATTACCTTTCTGCTGAAGGGTCAACACAAATAATAATATTGTCAATAATCTGTGCCAGCAGAAAACAAAAAATTTTTAATAATGATAAATAAAGTTGTATCAGAAGTATTGATATCCATACTAACTCTGCTAATTGGAGTGCACAATATTTATGACATGGTCTAAAAAAAATTCGTATTGGCCAGTATTAGCTGGTATGAAGCTCAAAAAATTTCTTGATACATGAAGATTCTTATGCTAATTACATCGTGTGAATTCTTGAGAGATCAATATTTATTATTAATTTATTATCTTAAGACTTAAAGTTCTCATGAAGATTTTATTCATATTCTAATTCTCCAATAAATAATTAGGATCTTTTTATTTGTTCGCAACATGTAATTGCAATATATATTTTGCAAATTTTATTTTTTGTATTGATTGTTGCTCTGTGCAATATTTTTATATTATAAAATAAACTTTTATCTAACAACATTGGAAATTTGTGGAGCAAAGATATTGCCATGTTGTATAATCAGTATATCAAACTAGAAAATCTATTAATCTTTTTTGCATAAATTTTACTTATAAAGCAAATTATAGAAGTAATAGAAAAAGTATTCATACAGAGGCTGAAACAGTTAAAAATTTAAAAACAAAAGAACTTATTTAATATTTATAGAAACAAGAAAATACATAACTTCTCGAAAAAGACCTTAAGTTCTTCGGAAACAACAAATCACATTACTTAATTCAATTATCTTAAGCTAACTGATGATAAACTAGAAATATGTATGTCAGTAGCTCTATAATCGATATTTTAGAATTTATTAAGAAGTTAAAAGAAAAATTTGAATATATTGCTTCTTGTACTATTGTTTCATTCTTGTTATTTTTACAATTATCTGTATATATTACTCACCATTTTGTTTCATAGGTCCCATTTTGAATCTTGAAAAAGTATGCAAAATTGGTAAATTGATTATATTAAAGATTATCACTAAAAGAGATTTTCAATTCTCAAAATGCTCAGGGAGAAACCCGAGTTTATTTCAAGTCATTTGAATGACTTCAAAAACCATTTTACAAACCAATCTAAGTTTTTCCAGTGATGTATGAAACTTGTCTTCAGTTGAAGCTCTCTCAGAAATAGTTAAATAAATTCTTTGGAAATTCAAATGAGCATTCTTTTCAAGCATGTATTAATATGTTGCATCTATTATTGAATCGTCCAAAACTGACATCATTGAAGATTTTGAGATGTATTCATTTCATATTTCATATCGAGTCTTCAATCTAAACTTGTGTTCTAATATCTCAAAAAATATTTCAATCTATCTCACCTTATTTGATATATGATACCTGTTTTACAAGAGGGGAGAAAAAGGTTTATAATAATTACCACATACGACTGAATATAAGCAGCTTAACAACTTTTCTAATTTAGATGTTAAAGTCAGTAAAACCAGTATCGAATATAAGCAATCTTACATTTTGAATTATTAATTAATTAAACTGGAAAACTTATTAGAAAAATAAAGATATTAAATACAACCAAAAAATGCATGTAATTTTCTTCTAATCTTCATTATCCTTTAAATTATCATTATTAGTTCCTTCATCTTCACTAATTACATGCTCATCAAAATCACGATGAATTTTATCATCTTCTGATCTGTTTATGGCATTGGAAATAGAACACTTTTGAAAGACATAATAAATAAATCATTTCTGGATTAATTTCTATTCGCGCAGCAAGCACCATTGACATGCAGTAAGTGATTCTGAATATTTTATATTTCCAGACTTAGTTTGACCAGCACTATCACTTACCATCCATGCATGCCAATAACAACGAAGTGCAACTTTGAAATGACAGTTAACGAAGATATCAAGTGGTTCGTTGTTGTTAATTTGCTTCTTAATGATATCAGTGAGATGTGCTTTGAATAAGTCTAAACAAGAAGAGCAGGCTCTTTTGCCAACCAACTGGTCGATTTTTAGTATAATTATAAACCCAAACCAACATATCCGACTTATTCATCCAATTCTTTTCATGAAAGGTAACAATTACATCAGATAGGGGAGAAAGTAATTTAGTTTTAGACCATCTTTTTCCTTTAAAATAATCATGGGCGAACATTTTTGTTCTTCAGCAAAGCATGTTAAAACCTCTGTAAAATTTTTTTCATTACCAATTGTACGAATTTGTACTGTTTTGGCACCAAGATTATTTATTGATAGTGAAATCACGTCAAATCATACAGGTGTTTCATCCATTCATGATATGGCTTAAAGGAAATTTTTTGATGACGTAAATGGATTATAAAATGTTGCAAGTTAAATAATTGTTGTTCGAGATTGACAGATATTTCTTGTCCAGTTTTTTGTTTTTCAGTGTAAGGTAAGTTTGTGACGTTTTAAAAAATTTGCTATCCATGTTGAGGATGCTTTAAATTTGTTTATTTTAATATTGATAGTAGCATGTTTAATTGAGATTGTGATATGTTACAGCAAGTGATGCATTTAATTAACCATCTATAAAGTCGTGTTTCTGCCTAATCTACCAAGTCAGTATGATTTGCTGTATCCAGTTGATCTTTTATCCAATGATCAACCTGGGATTTGTTCAAACTAAATTTCGTGGCAGCCTTGATATTACTTGAGAAAATAGCAAATTAAACAACTTTTTCTTGAAGAGTGTATAACTGACGTCCACTTTTATTTTTGAAAAAGACTTGCCGTTTTGTTGATTGTAAGTTTACTGATAAAATAAAGCCTCACATTTTTTTTAAACAAATCTGTAAAGCAACATCAATCAGTTTTATTTTCATGCAGCACACATTATATCAGTAACACGATATAAAATGCAAATGATTGGTTCATATATGAAATTGTTCTATATTCGAATATAAACTTAAATCCTGTATTTTTTGGTTGCTTATATTCGGTCAGATACGGTGTGATATCCAGCGGAGGAACTAATCTCAAAATCAACATGGACATACGGAAAATTTCCTTGCATCTTTGGATATTATGCGCGTGACACCATGGTAACAAAGTCAAACGAAAGGACTTAGTCACTCGTTTTTTTTTTTGGAAACACTGAATTCAATAGCAGAAGAAATATTTTCTGGTTGTTGCTCTTACTTACCAGACCCTTCTAGAGTCTTTCTAGCGGAAATCTTGCATTATCCACCAATCGAGTAGTAAGATAATTGAGTTAATGCAAGCTGTAATCGTGAAATGTTATCCATACACAAAGTAAATCGTTTTCAAATGAAAAAACAAACGGGAGTATGAAGAAATTTAGTCACATATGCACCACCTGCTGGGAAGAAAATTATTTTGATATAGTTACTGATTAGGACTCTTAACGGGTCGGGTCGGGTCAGACTATATCGAATTTGATTAAATTAATAATTCAAGGTTCTCTTGGCATCCAGTGATCATAAAAAGATAAATTATAACTCATTGAATTAGTCTCATCGAGATAAATATACAGTGAGATATAACATTTTTATAATTGCATTCTAAACTTTTAATATGCAATCAATCTGAAAAATGCTATCTCGGCATCCAGTGATCAGGGAAAGACAAATTATAACTCAATGGATTCGTTTCATCGAGACGATTCTAATAGTTATTTCATCTCGATAGGAGTGATATTCGTCGAGATATCGCATTCGAAATTCTGATTAAAATTTTCGGGTCGGGTCGGATCATCGGGTAACCTGAATTACAGGTCAAAATTCGGAGCTCTATGGTGTGTACCATAGCGATAGAGCTGACAATGGCAATATAATGGTATATGACTTTATATAGATTAAAGTGATTGCATAAAATCTCATTAGCTTGTAATCTCTATTTAGAATTGAATAAGCTGGTTTGTATACCAAGTTTTTGGGAAGAGTTAGATTTCAATTGTAAGCAAATGGGCAACTGCTGTGCCAGCATCTATCCAAAACACTGATACAGTTGGTGAGAGAATATGATAAGAAAAATTCTGAAAATTACGACCATCAGTACTCCTAAGCAAAAATAAAAACAATGAAAACAGCACCAAAAGAGCCCCATTACGGTTATTATCACCATAATAATTCAAGTTAAAACAAGAAGCCATTCAGAATTATGAACAAAATTTGATTACGTATTCATTATCTTTAAAGGACTAATCCATTAACAGTAATGACCAGGTAGATTAAGGTGCATAAGAAACTGATTGAAAGTCCCTAGTTTGAAATGAGAAGGAAATCGGTCGAGAAATCCTAGTTTGAACTTGTTGGAAAAAACGACGAAAGACCAATAGAGTTTTAGTAAAAAAATCTTCAATGACACACATATATATATTAAGTAAATATACCGATTTTTTACGCTCTTCCGCTCCCCCTTCCTTTTCCGCTTCCGAGATCGCGTTCAACTAATTGCCTTTCACGTTGTGTGTTGGAATCGGCATTTCACTCAGAATAATGAATCGGCAACTTCGATTTGACTGGCAACATAAAGAGTAATTTCAATATACGTAACAAAAAAATACACACCTCATTGAGTTAAGCAACCCAACCGCCGCAATTCTTGACGTAACATGTCCAAATTTCTTTTGGGTCCAAAAAGGGGTTTCGGACATTAGCATCTTATCAGTTCAACTAAAACTTGTTAATTCAATTTCCTTGTAATATATGAAAAATCAAAAATTTGTCCCAATGATTCCAACGACGAATTAGCAACGAACAAAGTTCGTTAAAATCAATCAAAGTAATATATCGATATCGTTTAAAACAAACATAATACCATGCGCGATTTCAATTGCGCCCAAAATGGTCACTAGTGGAACGAATCATCGCGAATTTTTGACTCGAAAATATTTTAAAAATACATGTTCGTATATCCCTTTGTTCACTACGTAATAAACGACGATTTATCCACACCTAATTTTCGATTACACGAAATTATCTTTTCGAGCCTATTTTTTAAAATAAAATTTACAAAGACGTTTATATCATTTACTGAAGTTGAACTGACACGACGACAAATCATTATTACTGCTATCGCTGACAGCAAATTCAAGAGACACTGATTTGAGAATCTGCGAATTTGAATCATATTCGTCCGACACCAAAGAATGTGCAAACTTAAAGAAATAATATCACCAATAATTTAATTGTAACCTTATCAATTTACACTTTATCGTTATTGTTTATTTCGATTTGTCTTGTGCGATTGATAAACACCAAAATTACGTAGGTTGGATAAATTATAAATATTCGGTCAAGTAATAAACATTCAATTTATCAAAATGATTGTGAATATAAAGAAGAAATAGCTCAAACTAAAACTCATTCTGTACACCCATATTTATAATTTTATTCTTCTGGAGGTGATGGCGTTGGAGAAGGTGTAAGATCCGGATCTGAAGAATCGTCATCGTCATCATCATCATCATCATCATCATCATCATTTGAAGTGGCAGTACGATAGAATCCCCAAAGATACTGTCCCTTTGAACCAGCACACAAGTCCTGTTCAACAAACACCCATCCTTCTTTCTCTGGTGGTGCATTATCATCAGTGAATTCGAAATAAATTTCAGTAACGGGAGGTTTATCACCACACGCGTTCCACACTAAGTATATGTATTTTCCACCGGCGCCTTCAGATAGGTCCTGCGGGTACCAAAAGTCCCAGTTGGGTGGTTTAGTGGTGCGTGGTTCATCGTAGGCAATATAAGAGAGTGCAGTCACACAGTCGGTGTGAGTCCAGTATCTGCCGGCAGAATTCCTTTTTTTTCGTGTTCATAAATACATAAATACATAAATATACATAAATAAAGTCGAGTCATTTAACATTTAACCTGATAAAGCTTGTGCATACCACAAAAATCCTCGATTCGTTTCTGGGGGCGAATAAAACTCCAAATTATCAATCTTAACATCGGTCAATTTATATCCAATATGAATAAATTTACCGCCATGACCAGCATTCAAATCTGTTTTGTCCCATTTCCAATTGGGTTCTGGCCACGGCAAGCCTCGGAAATCAGAAGAGTTCACTTTAAAGTCCACAATTGCCCTTTATATATAAATTCAAGCAAATAAATGAACAGAGTAATTTAAAAAAAAATAATGATCGGTAATACAATAAACAAGAAATTATTGATACTTTACGCAATATTTGTGGGAACCAACGATTTCCACTTTTTGACTGCTAATTTTTCTTTTTCTTCGATAAGGCTTTTGAGTCTTTGTGGTGATTCGTCGATATGGTTGTACTGAGCAAATATTTGGCGAGAGAATTCATTCAATTTTCGTCTTAGTATAGATTCATTTCCCTAAACAATAACAAAACTTCGGTTAAGCAACATAAATGCATAAAAATTTAAAATAATCAAAAAAACCAACAAATTCATACAAACGGCGTCTCCTTCTGTAACCCAGGTTCAACAATTTCGCGCCACACAGTTTCAACACCATGCATCAAATCGTTCTTTACTTTCATGGTCGTCGCACTAAAATACTTGATATTTCTCGAATCATCATTAACAAAATCCAAAACTTTGTTTAGTCTTTTTACGAACGCGTCACCACTATTCATGCTATTGTCATTTTCCGATTTGAGCGACGACAAAATTTCGGTGATGGTGATGGCGAGTTCTTTGACGTATGATTTGTCAAAGCGGTCTGTTGGTATAGTGTTCATTTTTCTGAGGTCTTTGAGTCCAAGTCCAGGTGGCTATATTTATTTATTTATTAGTCATAGAATGCTTGCAGCTGTCATAATGTAATCAAACTAAAAATATTTACTGGAATTCCGTGAACGTTAATTACGGGGAAATTATCTTCGAAAGCAGCTGAATCTATTCATGATTGCGATACAAGTTAATAAAGAAATAAGATGTAAATTAATAGGCTAATAGAAAAATTACCATCAGGATCCACAAAATCCATTTTCTCCATAAAGAAGTCCGTTAAATCAAAAGAACTCGACGACAAATCAAACATAAAATCTTTGATCACGACAAATAAATTCGACGCGACATCAAAACTCTCGCGAAATTCATCCTCTTTAACCTCTTCCTTCTCATCATTCTCATCATCAAAACTCTCGCGCAATTCCTCCTCCTTAACCTCTTCCTTCTCATCATTCTCATCATTAAAACTCTCGCGCAATTCCTCCTCCTTAACATCTTCATTCTCATCCTCTATCGCAAAACTCTTCTTTCTTAATAACTCGATCAAATTATTAGCCGCAAAAAGACGCTTCATGTTCTGCGTATTGGGTGACTTATCAATAGTGTAAACAAGTGTATCAGATATTAATAATGCCAACAAAAAAAGTTTCTGTTGTGTTTTCTCGTCTCGTTGAAAATCATCGAATCCTTCGTAATCGAGGACTAATACTGTGTTTCCGGTGTCTTTGTTATCGCCATCGTTATTATTGAATGGCGTATCCCAGATTTGAATTCCTCGTGTGGTAGTTACGTCTAAGTAATTGCCTAATGCGAAACCGTCGTGACGACCATGTAAAAGGTTTGCAAGGTGCGATTTTCCAGTATGCTTATTGCCAACTTTGTTTTTTTAAAGAATTAATGACAAGATATTTCAAGAAAATCAACAAGAAAATTATAAGTAAATGAAAAAAAACTCACCAACAGAAACAACTTTAATACTCCCACTTTGGTGTAGTTGTTGAAACTTTTCCAACAACCCATTAGCCGCTTCAAGATTCACCACAAACTTTCCATTTACTATCGACACCAGCTGTATTGGTTTCCCTTGACGAAAAGGGATTCCCTGACCAAATGGATTCGCATCTGTTGTAGTAACCATCGTTATTCTTGCTATTTATTATCCCTTTAATTCTGTTCAATCTATCAATAAATTTTATTATTCGAGAAAATGTTATATCGGAGAAAAATCGTTATTGAATACCATTTTGTACCAGGAAAAGTACATACGTACACAGCCCAATACGTAATGTTACAGAAAGAGAATGTCTGATTGGTCATTTAAAGCAGCTAATAGCGGTAGGACCCGAACATGTCAATCTAAAATTTTTACTATTACATGCTAACGCTAAATAATTTCTGGAAAAAATCATGATAATAAACATCGATATCAGTATTTATTCTAGTTCGAGAAAAACGATTGATTAATTGTATCGTTATTCTCAGTTGAGTTATGATTTAGTCGCGTGCTCGATATATATGAACATGTATATGTGCTTGTATTTGATATGTAAAGTACCCCAAAAAGTAACGTCCCGGTCCAAAATTATATAAAAAATGGAAATTAATTTTCAAGCTATGTACGTATATCGATACGTATATGGTGTATAATATGTATATGGTGCATAAAATCTAAAGTCATCAAACGTTTGTATTTTATAAAATGTATATAAACTTCTTTACTAAGAAGTAAATACTAAATTTAATCCGTGAATATGATAGAGTAGGCCTTTTCTGAGCATATTCACGGATTAAATTTAGTATTTACTTCTTAGTAAAGAAGTTTATAATACATTTTATAAAATACAAACGTTTGATGACTTTAGATTTTATGCACCCGAATAAAATTACTCTTAGAATTGACCGAATTCAAATAAAGCACATGTACTGTATATTAAATCAATTTTTATTCGGGAATCAAATATGGTGCAGGACATCTAAAATGTATAAACTTCTCAACTAGGAAGTACATTCAAAATTTAATCCGTAATATGGTAGAATAAGCCTTTCTCTACCATTAAAGTTTGAATTCACTTCCTAGCTGAAAAGTTTATAAAATATAAACATTTGATGTCCTACTTTGACAATTAAAAATCGCACCAAGAAATACGTACAGTGGCTCCCACAAGAATGGAACACTCGATAAAATTTTTATCTCCACCAAGATTAAACAAGTGTTCGTTTAAACCTCGAAACTTCTAAAAATAATTTGACAACAGATTATTTTGACTGTTTTTGTAAAATTAAGTGATTTAAGCCAAAATTTTTTCTATAATAAAAAATCCACCTATATTAAAGTTGCCGGTCATAACAGTTTTGAACAATTACGACATGTTAATGAATTATTACAACGTAAGCCATAATATGAAGCATGAGTTATGACAATTTTCATAAAATTGGCTCAAAATTTATCGAGATTTAAGATCCCGAAGGTCCAAATCTCTGCTAGTAAATAAGTAGCTGAATTAATGCTCTTTGCAGAGATTCGGACCTTCGGGATAATAAATTTTTATGAAAATTGGTAGGCAGATTTCATGGAATAGAACATTTTAACTACGTAGTGGTCAAATTAGGATTTGACTTAGAAAAAAAAAGTTGTTCGATGCGAGAAATTTCTAATAACGATAATTGATTGAATCGATTCTAATTTTATAAATTATCGCTGTTTGCATACTAAATTATCCTTTTTCTTTCGTTGATTACCTGATTAACGGAAGTTCAGAGTAAATACTTTATTATATATTACGTACCTGAGTCTTGTTTTTATCGTCTCTATTTAGGGATAGAAATTGAATCGATTTTAGAATCGGTTCCTATCTCAGATAGAGACGGTAAAAACCAAGCTCAGATAAACTAAAGTATTTACCTCTGAATGTCTATTAATTTACAAAAAACAAAGGTGATCTAATCAGCAAAGAAAAGGAAATTTAGAACAGATAATTTAAATAGCTAAAAGTTTTTAGAAGAAATATAATGAGGCATATATTTACTAAACAAAAAAATCCAATTATTAAGAATTTCAACAAAGATTTTATGCGCCAATATCAATTTTGATGATATTTAATAAATATAGTCGATTCTATATTAGTTTTTACAAGGTGTACTTATTTAAATTAGTAATTCTCAAAATTTTGATGCAATGGAAAGAAGCCACGCATTCGAAAGATCCTTATATGTAATTCTGTGAATAAATAGTGCTCCGAAAAAAAAACCGATATTCTAGAAGTATACTTTATTTAATGCATATTCTTGGAACTGGCATTATAACATTCATTTAAATAAGAGGGTTAAATTATATAACCAAAAAGAACCGAAAATCGAAATCGAACCGTTAGGAGGAATCACTTGAAAATCGAATATTGACGCCATGGTTAAATAGCTAAATTTATGATACATAGCGATAGGCCACTATTAATCAGACAGACGATCCATTAAATTATAGAGTATTGAATGTTTACTTTTTACACTATACAATCAAAAAATCCAAACTATGTCAATGCTTACAACTCTTTTCTGCATTTTCCTTTTACTCTCCGTCTTCGTCTTTTCGATGTTACGTCCCTATCATTACGTCACACAGAAAGTAGCCCATAAGAAACAACAGCTGAAACTTAACATAACACAATGTCCACCACTCTCTCCTCGACCCACTCCAAAATCTGTACATGATTTACGTCCAGACGATATTAAATATGTTATGGCGTTGGGTGATAGTATTACGGCCGCATTCGCTGCTAAGGGCAAATATCATGGTCATCCATTGAACATTCACAACATTTTTGAGAATCGAGGCGTTAGTTTTGTAATTGGTGGAGATGAAGATGCTCAATCTGTAGCGAATTTTATTAAATTCTATCGAGCGGATGTGGTTGGTTCTTCTGTAGGTGATCATCTGGTTGAAGTTTGTGCTGGTATGTAAAAATAAATGGATTACCACCACACATTTCGTATACATGGCTGAATATTTTCAAAAAATTCAATTTTTCAGGCAAATTTTGCCCAGGAAATCAATATCGACCAAAATTAGATCGACTTAATGCTGCACAATCTGGCGCATCAGTAATAAATCTCGGGCATGAAATGAATTATTTATTGGAACGTATTGAAGAATTACAAGTAGACAAATCAAGCTTCAAGGTAAAAACGTTTTTTTCGTGCAAATGACTTCTATCTTTAATATACTAATAAAAACTCATACTAGTTTCTGAACCTATTCATCGGCTCAAATGACATATGCAATGGCTGCAAAATTGATCGAGTTTCCCCTCGTGTTTTTGAAGCGTTTATTCGAGATACACTTGACTCCATCGAATCTAAAATCCCAAATACAATTGTTAATATCTTGGGAGTATTTAATGTATCGCAAGTGTACAAATTTGCCCACGGACAACAGTATTGTCGTTGGTTTAAATTTTTGCCGCAAATTCAGTTCGGTTGTGCGTGTGCTTTTTTACCAGGTAACTATATTTTCCTATATATTTTTTCTTTTGTTTTTTGCGACTAAATACATTATTAGTTTCTTCTTTCAAGGTGAAATTGGTAAATATTATCGCAAGAAAATGGATGAGATCACATTACAATACAATAAAGTCATCAAAAGAATAGTCGCTGATTATGCGTCACGTCCACCAAATCATTCTTTTGGCCTTTCCTATCATCCATTTGAATTAAACCTATTGTCATTTCCTATTGAGAGTGTTACTGATGTTGACTGTTTTCACCCTAGGTGATGTAATTTTTTATTGGGAATCTTTCGACTAAAATATTCATTTTTGTTCTTTATGTTTTCTTTCTTTAGTGTCAGCATGCATCAATACATTGCCAAAGTATTATGGAACAATTTACCGATTGATCTGTCATTGCGCGTTCCAATTATCTGGAATCCAAAAATTGGTACTCGTTGTTTTACGGACGAAGATCGTATTCTTACAGTTCAGGCGAATATATAGTCCCCGGCGAAAGTGATGGCGGCCAGTTTTTTATTACAGAACAACATGATATCCAATACTGCGCTACAATGACAATTTTTTATTGTAAATCTTATACATAATAATAAATCTGACCAATCAGAATTCTTCATCTTTAATAATCTAACGCTAATATTGGTGAAAAATTTTAAATCATTATAACTTTAAAAATAACACAAAATAAAAATCCTCTTACAGAATTACAGTTTTATTAACAAACTATCAATCTATGGGAGGGATTTTTATATGATTATTAATCATCAAGTTATAAATAAAAGTGGATATCTTATGCTGTCCTCGCTATATTTCATTTAATTGTATAATAAAATTATTGTGAAAATGCCTAAGATATAAGTATTTTGTGTGCTCTCTTTCCGTGTCAATGCAAGTTCGAATATAATTGAATGTTCTAGAAATTTTGTAACTTGAACGTTTTTAACTAAAAAAAAAAACTATAATGAGGCGAATATAATTAGACCAAAACTACCAACATCTGATCACTGATTATCGAGAAATGAGATTTGAAATTTAAAACCCTGCAATCGGGAAAATGACTTGCTGTGATGTGCTCCTATTAGAATTTCGCAAATTCATCCCATTTTATATATTTTGCTTCTATGAAAAATATTAGTATTCTAGTAAAATTTATATAACAATCTCACCGCAATTACTTTCACCGATGACTGTAATAGTTCTCGAATAAAAATTTGATCGAATGTAACTTTGAAATAAATAGATGTTTAAAAAGAATCCACCAGGGCGACCCCCGAAAGTTCGGGCCACGTGATAATTCTTTGATGACGTCAACGATGCGAAAAGGGTTA